GACGCGTTTCAGAAAGGCGGGGCATAGAGGAGAAACAATAATGTACAGTATGTGGAAAATAATGTGTTTTTTTAACCTTAAACCGCATAAACACATTTCATTACACCAAATACACCAAATAATGTTCTTTTTAGCAACATCATATGACCCCTTTAAACCACACAAAACTCATGATGGAAAATCAGGTCTTCACAGTGTTTTAGTTCTGTATGGAAATCATTCTACCATCCGACTGTTGAATCACACTTGCAACCTGAAAATTATTCCTAATTTTCTCCTGTAGCTCTGTAGATCCCCTTCATTTGTTTTAGTCAGTTGAGAATAACAATATGTCATGTTGGCATTATGAAAACAATATTCAGAGTATATTGGCACTGAGTGGCATCAGAAACAGATCTCATCCATTTTCTGTTGGAGCAGTTGCTTCTTTTTCTCACTTCGCCGGGTGTGATTAATGACACCTCAGTGTGGCACGCAGCAGGGCTTTCATTATCCGTCAATATTGGGAATTAGTTAAATTTACATTCACATTTATATTATTCCCAGATGCTTTCCTACAAAAGCAACAACAACATTTCTGTTTTGAAGTTGTGTAGACCTGCTTCTATTATTCATGAAGCCAGTCGTAGTAGAGGACAAGAGAGCGTTCGTCGACCCTAAGTGCACTAGCCCTTTTATGTTCGCAGATATATTTATAGTGCGTGGGCAGAGTGTGTACATTTTACTGTCACGTTCGGCGCATCTTGGCCGATGTGGCTGCGGACGGGAGCCAGAGAGAGGGATAAACAGAGGGACAGACCGATCTGCCATGCCGAATCTTAGCGACACTCACGCAAGATCTTTCACGAAGCACGTGAGAAGCAGGACGGCGATTGCTGGATGGGAAGCACATCGCCAACCTCCAAGGCACTGCTGAGGGGAAAGTCACTAGCGTAGAGCTGTGATGAAACCTTCAGACACGCACACACAGACTCATACACAAGCATATAATGTTCATCAGGGGGTTGTTATGAGTGTCTCTCCCCTCCTGCGGCCAGAATGACTGCTATTTCAGATGGCATAACATAATCATTTGGGCATGCTTACTTCAGCTTGAGTTCACATGGCCAGCCTCATGTTAAATCCCCTTCTTTGGAGCCGTGCATGCTACACACTCACCAGAGATACATTCTTAGCATCACTGTGGAGCAATTGTCAGTCTTGACCCTAAAACCTCAGCCCTTTATACCTTCAGCATAAAGTTTGGACCACTTTGCAGCTTATTCTGGCAAAGAAATGTCTACCTCAACAGAAGGAGACCATTTTAATGATATATAAAGTGGCCAAGTGCAGTTTTGTTTAGAGGTGGATACCTTGCGGCAAATTGCAATGCAACTTTAGTTGACAGATCCCACTTTTCTATTTTTGTAACAGTTTTTTCCAGCCACTTTAATTTCCCTTTTAACATGAGTACACATTTTACTTTATTTACAAATATCCTGGATTGATTTATATTAATTGCAAATATTATACACTGTACTGTTCAAAAGTTTGGGGTCAGTGAAATTTTTTCCTTGAAAGAAATGAATACTTAATTCGACATTCAACTGATCAAAAGTCACTTTAAAGAAGACATGTAGGCTATAATGTTAGAAGATTTATTTTTCAAATAAATGGTTTTCGTTTTGAATTTTCTATTCATCAAAGAATCCTGAAATTTTTTTTTGCAATTTCCACAAAAATATTAAGCGCCATAAATACAACTGATCAAAAGTCACTTTAAAGAAGACATGTAGGCTATAATGTTAGAAGATTTATTTTTCAAATAAATGGTTTTCGTTTTGAATTTTCTATTCATCAAAGAATCCTGAAAAAATGTTTTGCAATTTCCACAAAAATATTAAGCGCCATAAATAATAGATAGATAGATAGATAGATAGATAGACAGACGGACGGACGGACGGACAGATAGATAGATAGACAGATTAATGATAGATAGATAGATAGATAGATAGACAGATAGATAGACAGACGGACGGACGGACGGACGGACGGATAGATAGATAGATAGACAGATTAATGATAGATAGATAGATAGATAGATAGATCTTCTTTCTATCTTCTTTTTCTGTCTTCTTTTGTGTTCAACAGAAGAAAGAAATTCAGGTTTGGACTCACGTGAAGTTTAAATGATGACAGAATTTAAATTTTTGTGTGATCTGTCCCTTTAAGGTGACTTGCAGCTTCGACACTTCCAGTGCTGACCGCCTTAAGCAATGTGACGTCCGTCACTTCTAGTGTAGACACAGTGTTACATAAATTGTTGCATTGAATTGAATGCGACAATTTATGGTAGAATGGTTTTACACAATTCGTTTCATAAATGAATCCCGTTGTACCTTGCAAACATTCGCAATCTGACTTTCGGAATTTGCATAATGTTACTGTACATGACATTTATATATAAACATTTGGCAGACACTTTTATCCAAGTCAGCCACTCAGTCTTGTTTGTCACATCCATCAGATGATCAGTGAACACTGGACTCTATAACTATAGTTGTATTAAATATCCTGCACTGGACTGGAGCAGTGCAGTTAATTGTAAATAGTACAATGGAACTATCAATGTCAATGAGCAATTTTAGCTTTGTGCTGAGAGGCACGGTCCATGCTTGTTTTCTTTTGTCAGCAAACAACGAATTCTACAGAGAGCTGAATGAACTGAAGCGGACTGTGTAGTAGGCAAGATTGCTGCAGCTGGGACCTGTCTGCCCCATCAGCAGAAATAAACAGAGAGAAAGAGAGTGATGGGAAATCATGGGAAAGTCCAAAACTTCAAGGAGACCTTTCTTGAGGAATGTTGTATCAATAGCAGTGCAGAAGCAACCTGTAAATATCGTGGGAAAGGTTAGCCTGCTAATCTTTAGAAAGATGGCTCAAAAGATTTCTGTCATTCTGTACTCTTAGACCACACACTGTATGGTCATAAATCAAAACGTGCTCTTTGTCTGTTCTGCACAATTAATCTCGCATTAATGCAACTATAGACAGAAAATGGAATGGTTTCTCTGCATAAGCAAATCTGTAACCTGTCTTTGTTTTCACAGTGTCATGCGGTTTTGACTAGTTTGCCAGTAAGGCGTTGTTCAGAGGATTTAACTGTATATGTTGACAGAAAGCCTCTTTTCTAAAGTAGATTATGGAATTGGTTTATCCGTGAATTCTTTGAGTGGAGTCAATTAATTTATTCTGGGGAAATTGTATCTGCTCTGGCTTAGCTGCAGACCTGGATTTTGATTAAAATAAAACATGAAAAACGGTTTACAATTGGACACTAGTTTTTAATTTTAGCAGAATATGCAGGATTTGCTACATATATCGAGAGACTAATGTTTGAGTATGTGGTACATGTGTGTTTTGGAGTAGCTATAAAAAGATATATGAGTTGTTAATTGCAAAACAGTTAATTGCAACTGTAAGTATTATCTATTCTGGTTGTTTTCCATATTGTAATTTATACAGTTTATACAAATGTACATGGCTGTTAACATAATTAAGAACAGGTGGTACTTTGGAGACTTTGTTATGATATGTTATGAGTAAGTGCTTAAGTCATTGCGCTAACTAATATATACAAATAACAGTTTGCTTATCTTGTTTCTGTAAGAAGAAGGTCTGTTTTTGTGAGACAAGAGGTTAGTATTTGAAATTTGTGACTGTTTTTTTTCCAGTGTTTTTTCATTGTTGCTGTCTGAAAACAGTGATATTTGGTAAACAA